CAATCTGCCACCTCCTCTCTGAGTAACCTGCAGATTATCTTTCCTCCATGTGAGAAATTATTTGAAGGGAGCCAAGCACGTATTTGCAGGAGGAAGATGAGTTGGCTCCATCTGTGTTCATCTCTACTGTGTGTTCTTCATCTTCATCTGTTCCTACACCGACAATAATATTAATAATAATCATAATAAATCATAATTTGAACTTTATTCATTCCACAATTGAGAACTTCTTGTATTAACAGCAGATCACAGACCGGCTACCCCCAGGGGGCGCCATGTATGTGGTGCCTCTGGGGCTTTCTGCTTGTAAGGCAGGTGTGCTAACCGCTACACTACACATATACGCAGGTGGTTCTGTGAGTTGACACCATCCTCCCCTACTTCCTCCTGTCCTTCACCTGTCGTCAGACCCCAGCCCCACAGACCCCATCCCCACAGAACTGTCACACACACACAACCCACACAGTCAGTGTCATGAGCACAACAGAAAAAGCACCAATTTAAGAATGTTGATTTATCGCAGATGAATCGTTGAACAGAACTTATTTAAAGACATAATCAAGTTGCAGATTTGATTCTCTTTTTTTTATTATCATTTTGTTTTACATATTCTCTGCAGCCAGGTACAGTGCTGCTCACTGGTATTTTTTAATGACACTCCAGCCGGGTTACAGCAGCACAGTTTATTACTAAATACAGCTGGTAGTGCAGGTATTTCTCCGTGACCCTGAGGAAAACGCCATAACGTCCTGGTGTTTTTTTTTTTATATCTCTGCTCGCTCCTCTCCAAGCTCCCACTGACTTCTCTATGTCTCTCTACTGCTCTTTCTCTCTCAAACTTTTATTACAGGAAAACAAGTCTTTTGTTATTCACTGATCATCTCATTAGCTCTTTGTTGTTTATGTTGTTTATCTCTCTTATAAATGTAAATTTTTAGCACTGTGTTTTTGCAGGCAAATGTTAGTGTGAATAATTATTAGTGCCTCCCTTAACAGTATGACTGAGGGTGAGTTAATTCAAACAGAGCTGCGTAATTAGCAGTTGTTTCTGGTGGCAGGAGCAGGAATTCAGGTCCAAAACCTTGATTATATTTGCCCTGGGTCGTCTGGAGTTCATCAGCACTGTCAGGAGCAGGAGTCAAATATGCACATTTATGAAGATAAAAAAAAAATCATGGTCAAATTCCTGTTCAGACTCAGTGCTGAAGACACATGGTTTATTCAATTGTGTGTTTACACTTTTGTTGTTCTTTCGACACTGATTTCCACTGGTGAATGTTCTCCAACAGGCTCTTCAGTCAGAGCTGAAGGAACGTGAACACTTGGTTGTCAGCACTCTGGACCAGGCCCGACTGTTCCTGGCCGACCAGCCCATCGAAGGTCCTGGAGAACCACGCAGGAACCTGCAGCCAAAGACCGGTACGTTGGCTTGGACCGTATAATTACATCTTTACACCACCATCAGGGGTCACCGCAGAGGTCAAGCCCACAGTGACGACATGGCAGGCTGTGATCCGACCACTCCACCAGTCTATCCTCAGAAATTCAAACGTGCACCGCGGTGTGTAGAAGGATTCAGACAACAAATAGTAATTCCATCACTCTGTGTTCTGTTCTCTAGACTGTAGACAGAGTTAAGGCCACAGTCAGTGTCTACGCCACTGGACTGAATATAAATCCAGTCAGGCAGATGTCAGACACTCCATAACACCACACGGGATAAAGAATGGAACTCAGTAAAGTCAGTCGTAGTGCGACCTCCCAGGACCTCTCCTCTGTTATCATCTGTGGCCTTGATGTGATTCAGCCAGACTTAACTTTTAGAGCAGGATTAACCGGCTCTTTAGTGTTCCTCTGTTTTGGTAATGTTTTGTTTTTTTTTTTGACTTTATTGTCGCCTCGTTCAGCACTTCCTCTCCGTCTCTGTTGTATGCGGCAGGAGGAGTCTCAGATAAGTCAGCACATTTCCCCGAAACCCTGCTGCGTAAATAATTAAATCAACCCCTGTGTCTGTGGAGAGAGCACACCAACAGGCTTCTTCCCTTTATTTCCAATATGTAGTGAGTCAGGGAATGTTTGTCGTACAGTTACGATGGAATTGTTTTTTAATCATGCGCCAAGCTGGAGGATTCCCATTTTTCTTGACTTGTTTTAATGTTCTGAAAAGTTTTACTCCAGTTTTTATATTTAGACATTAATAAAATTTCGGTGGTGGAGAAATGTCACCTGCTCATCTGCTTTTTCCGCTCTGCGCTGCTCTAAGATTGCACTCGTTCACTGCTCAACTGAAGCACCAGTTGTTTTTCTAATTACTGTTACTGTTGTGTTCATTTTTAATGATTTATCAGTGAAGGGACATGGTGGAAAGATGGTTATTGTTCTTGTCATTCTGTAAGAAAACCATTGGTTCAAGGCCCAGTGGAAAATCCTGGATGTTTTTTTACAGATTAGCATGTTTTACCCACAGTGTGTGCATGGAATTTCAGTGCCATAGAAAAATGAAGGATTAGGTTCGTTGGACTCTCTGCATGTTGTCATGGGAACAAGACAAATAAAAATGACAAAATACAAATATTTTACAAAATATATAATATACAAAATACTAAGGTGAAAATAATTAGAAAAATCCTTTAATGACTCACTTGTCTTTGTCTTTGTTCCCTCTCACAGACCTCACTCCAGAGGAGAAGGCTCGGTGCTTGGCCCGCGCCATCCGCAAGCAGACAGGCGACGTAATGGAGCGTTGGGAGCGTCTAAAAGGACACGTGGGGGGCTGGAACAATCAGGTGGAGCGTGCCCTGGAGCGACTCCAGGAGCTGCAGAGCTCCATGGACCAGCTGGACCTGCGCTTGACTCAGGCCGAGGAGGCCAAAGCTACGTGGCAGCCTGTGGGGGATCTGCTGATCGACTCCCTGCAGGACCACATCGATAAAACCACGGTGGGTTTCAGACATCGATGATGAGTGTAGCTATAAAAGACACGGGCATCAACAGGGATTCAGTCCAGCACTCAGTGGATCCCACAGTATAAACAACTGAAATAAACCTCCTTTTTTGACACATGACTGTATGGTAGTAGAGGAAAGGACTGTACCTTTAACCACCACCAGGGTAAAGTGTCGTACAGTAAATCACATGATTGGCTGAGTTAATGACTTCCTGTCTGGTCTGTTTACCAATCCAACCCATCACTGTTGCAGAGATCTGACCTGAACCAGAGTTAACAAGCTCATAATGACAACATTTCACTGGTAAACAGTGACGATGATGAAAGGAAGGGGAGGAACGAGGACAGAGGAGGAGTAAAAACAATCATGTCGTGGTTCAGGAGTGTGTAAATGAACTGTAACTGCACCTCAGATCTTAATCATGTCTCCCTGGTGTGTGGACAGTCCAATTATATGGGTTCATGTTCTACTTCTTATAAACAGTGGAAATTAGAGTTGTCATATACATGTGAAGCTGGAAATGCAGATTGTAGTGCAAAAAAGTCCCCTCCTCAGGTGAGCTCATTTAGAGAGAATAAGGTTCATGTCGTTTATGGGAAACAAAAATACATATTTAAAAAAATGGATTTAAGAGCAGATCATTACTGTCAGTGACATGTGGTTCAGTCGTTGTCCAAGCAGTAACTGTTGTCTGTCAAACGGCTACCAACTGCACTCCTCTCCCCAGGCCTTCAGAGACGAGGTGGCCCTGCTGCGTCCGGATGTGAGACTTGTCAATGAGCTCTCTGCGGAGCTGACGCCACTGGACATCCAGCTGTCGTCCACCGCCTCCAGGCAACTGGACCAGCTCAACATGAGATGGAAACTACTGCAGGTACCTGAAGGACTCCTCATTTTTAGATAAGCCTGAAGAACACTACAAAACAACCACTCTGCTTTCTGCTGGTGAAAATAAGAAATGAAATCTATCATTGTGTTTAAATCAAGCAGCTCAAACCAGACCTCACTGAGTCCTGGGGAAAAAAAATGTAAAATTGATTTCTTAAGTGCCCAGATTTAACCCTTTCACAGCTGGTGGCTGCAGTCAGTTTTACCTTTATTTGATAAAGGTGACATATGATGCCAAATGAAGTTAGTCTGGGTTTCACTCACATTTGTGTCTCTGAGTGTCTGCCTGCTCCGTCACTGCAGGTTTTGGGGAAACTCAAACTCAAATCAGCCGTTCAGAACAGAGCTGTTAGTCCGTGGACATAAAGAAACCATAATAATCTGCATAAAATTCACATATTTCCCTCTTCAGTCTGTGTGTATTCTCTCCTGCTGATTTCTCTCTGAGTCATTCCAACACACGGGGGACCCCTCCCTACCCACACACACACACACACACACTTGGCTCTCTGTTTGCCTTCATGCCCAGGCTCTGATCTGCTCTGGGAGAGGAGCAGGTCTGTCCTGGAGTCCTGGAGGGAAAGTCAGGGAAAAGTCTTTGTTGGAGTTACCAGAGGGGAAACAGAGAACAAAGTGGGGATGTGATAAAAAGAGAGGAGGAAAAAAAACATCTCTGTCAAGCTGATGTGTCTCAGAAAACACATGAAATGATTAAAATGACTCTACTGAGAATAAATGAAACTTATTTGAAATTTATTTCTTTATACTCTGTTGAAACAGCTGAAGAAAAAAACCTAACAAATAAACTGTAGAACTGCAGTTTAGTCAGATGTAGTAAACCTAGTAAAACTGTGAGTTCATCAGGTCAAAGGTCATGATGTGAAGCTCTTTGAAGAGCCTCGACTGTACATGGTTTCTGTAGAAAAGTGAGCCAAACACATGAGCAGAGAAAAGGCAGGAGCCCTGAGGCCTTGGCTTTGTTATAGTTCAACAACCAGCACGGAGTAGACCTCCAGTCTGGACAGATCCAGGTCCACTGCTGCTCTCTGCGGCGGAGACTGCTCATCACAGAGCTAATCTCCGTGTTAGCTCAACAGCTTCAGTAATGAATCTACATCTGATTGTGTTGTTGTTTGATTTAGTCTCATATGCAGCGCGGCTTTGTCTCAGTGGAGCCGTGACCAGCCGTACAGACATCAGTGGCTTCATTCCACAGCACAGACCACGTGCCTGACCAAAGCCTCGTTATGGTTTTAGTCTTTCTGTGTTGTCCAGCTTGGCTCGGGCTTGGGGGGTACGGGGGGGGGGGGGGGGTGCGCG